TGAATCCCGAGATGAAGGGCGCTCATATTCCGGCTGACCAAGATGAAAGAGACTTTGCCGACCAACTTCTAAAGCAAAAAGAAAGTCGGATGCTGGAACTGGATATGATCCCTTTGTCGGAGGAGCGCAAGGCAAAGATCCGCCGATCATTTATCGATATGGTCCTCGAAGTAGAGAAAGCTAAGAAGCCTGAAATGGCTAATATATGTGTGGAGACAATCGCTGAGGCCTTTGTCTATGAAACTTTCGAGGGCCTGTCTGACGATGAGCTTTTGGGCGCAATCATCAGTTATGCTGAGCGCAAGGTGGCGGAGGATGACGCCAAAGCTAAAGGTTGGGTGGTTGACCCAGTCCCCTCTGACGATGACCGCATTTTGCACGAAGATGACGACGTCGTCATAATCAAAGAAAGCGATGTCGTCCGAGCGTTGGAAGAGAAGGAAGAGGATGTCGTCCAGCGCTTGAGCCAAAGGTTGATTGAACACTTGGATGCTGTTGAAAAAGACAAGGCTGAGACTGGGGATCCCCAACTTTCCAATGCAGGAGAAGCGTCATCGTCAGGGACCAAAGAAATTTGATGTTTTCAATTTGTTTTGTTGTTTGTTTATCTTTTTCTGGGGATGTGTTGACAATATTTTGATTTTGGAATGAAATATTAATGTTTTGATGAATGAAATATTTTTATGAATGGTTTATCGTGACTTATCATTGTAACAAGTCAGAGTATGTCGAAAAAAATGAATAAGTGTTCGTCAGATTAAAGTTTCCGACATAACGTTAGTGACAATTTATACGGATTACTGACATCGGTGTAATTTTACAGTATTTCCGATATCAATAACCTTATCAGGACAAGTTATACTAAACTAAGTCTTTGAACGCCTCAAAGAACTTAAGAATTTTATTGTTAATTGGTCAAATCAACGTCAGGATTTGATATCACATTTTCAGTTAAATTTTCGGTGTCGGCATAATTCATAGTTCGTCCGACATCCAAAAACTCTTTATTCGAACAAGTCATAAAAGACTTGCTTTTTACTGATAATATTTATTGCGAGCTCATCAAATCAACGTCGGGATTTGATATTATAGAGTGTAAGCCTCCCCAAACCATCTTCAGGGCCTGGAAGTATCCGGCTTTGCTGCGTTTGGCTAGGTCATACCATCTTCAGGGTATGAAACACGTTTAGCCTTAGCAACGAGGACCGATTTATTGTGGTCCGAGTGATCGAACAAATTACAGGGGTTCGTCACACAAACTTTATTGATAGCAAAACATGGTTCTTGTACAGAAGTAGGACAAAAGCTTTTTCACATGTCAAGGACAGGACCTTGGCCATAAGGTTTACTGGTAGTATTTCTTCAGATATGTCGTGTGACAAGGATATGGAAGGGGAACACCGTCTAACGTCTCAAGTCGGTAGGTGCCATTAGAGATCAGACGATTTACTTTAAAAGGTCCTTCCCACTTTGGTTGTAACGGGCCGACATTGGCGCCAGTAACTCTTTTCAGAACAAGGTCTCCTTTGATAAATGAGCGTGGCTTGAGCTTTGAGTTTATGTATTTTTCACTTCGTCGTTTATAAGCGGCATTGCGAACTTCGGCGTCGGCCCGTAATTCATCGACCAAATCGAGACTGGCTTTTAAGTTTGCTGGGTTGGTTTCTTCGGAGAAGTGAGTGATCCGATATGTCGGAAAGGC